ACATACCCTTTGGAAGCCTTATAGAAGCCCTATATACCCCAAATCCCCCACCCGTAGTTGCGTCAACCTAAAACCCTAAACCCCCTAAACCCCTAAACCCCTAAACCCCTAAACCCCTAAGCCCTAGACCCTAAACCCTAAACCCCTAGACCCTATAAACCCTAAACCCCTAAACCCAGCCCTCTGGCCCGAGACCTCCCAGCGGTAGGGCCGGAACCGAGAGGCATTTTGCCTCCTCGGGCCAACCTGTCGGGCCCCTAGAGCTATGGAAGTTGCATCCACATGGTCGGAGGCAGTCAGCCATGTCTCCCCTTGGATCCCGCAATCCTGCAATGCGAGGTGGAATAAACACAACGTGGTGTTCTGGAAGTGCATAGGTTTCGATGACAGATGTGTGTACACCATGGTCGTAGACCCGATGCTGCCCAGCCTCGGTCAGCACATCGGAAGCCGTACCTTCCGGACAACGAACACCAAACTGGTTTGGCACCTCAAGAAACAGATGCCGATGCAGGTGGGACAGATCTACATGACTTTCGGCTCCGTGGCCCCAAGCTTCCACATGGCGACACAACAGTGGGAAGCTGAAATGCCGGCGGCAAGCTTCTGCTCAGGCACATGTAAAGTAGCTGGCCAGTACATGCCCAACCACAACTACAATGTGGCAGAGCTCTTCTGTGGTTACATGGGTGGATGGACGTGTGCTGCTGAAGAATTCCCCAACTGGGATGTACAGGTGGCTCTGGACAACGACAAGGCAGCAATCAGCAACTATTGCCTGAACCATCCAGGGCAGGTCATCCACGACGCAGCCCACATCCAGTTGCCACTGAGCGACCAGACACTGATCCTCTGCACAGACTTCGAGGACCTGGGGTGGATGAATGCTCTCAACTACAGGACAATCAATACCTTTGCCATCTCAGCACCCTGCCAGAGCTGGTCAGGGATGGGTACAAGGTCGGGCACCGGAGTTGATGCAGGCAAGGTGCTGGTCAGGGCTGTCCAGGCTGTCAGAATGGTTCAACCGGCCTTGGTCCTGGTGGAACAGGTTGCGGGCTTCCGCCAACATGCTGAGTTCGACTCTTTTGTCCGGGCGATGCAAGAGGCAGGCTACAGACTGATGTCTAGCACAGTACACGATCTGGAGCTCCTGTCCTACAGTACCAGGCGACGGTGGTTTGGCGTTTTCCTAAACACCATCCACATTCAGCAGTGGGAACAGGTTGGGAAGTGGATGCACCCCGTCCTCCGAGAAAGACACACCTTCCAGCCGGATGTCCACTGTATTACAGTCATGACAGAGGCTCAGAGGAGCGCCGTGACTGTTACAGAGGAGGAGTACCAGATGATGAACGACCCGACCTTGCTCCCCCCATGGGTCAGAGCCGCGCCAGGAGCGCAATCTGGGGCTATGCCGTTCCGGATCCAGGGTACAGGCATGGTGTGGCCAACGATCCCGGCGTCGTACAGGACATCACTTAGCTTTGGGCGGGACTACCTGGCTAATAGCGGGCTGATGACATGGAGCATCAGAGATGCTTACGGTGATATACGCTGGGCCAGCAAGTTCGAGGCCGCCAAGGCATTAGGCTTCCCATCCTCAACGGTGCTCCCAGTTGATGAGGCGGAGGGCTTCAAGGCAGTGGGCCAGTCGATATCGCCGTACCAAGCAGCCCTGGTACTGACGCATGCCCAGGAGATTTGTTCGGTTCAGGCCGGGCAAGCAAACCCTGGCCCAGCTTTTCCCGAGGTGACCGAGGCCATCAGAGCAAAGCATGGGTTTATGGATACCTTCTTCATTCGGAGCCACGGAATCCACCATGAATGCCTTCGCACAAGACTGCATTCACAGGATGAAGTTGAGATTCTATGCCCGCACTGCAGGGAACCGACAAGGCAGCCCTTGCTGTTGGCCTGCAAGCACTGTTGCCTGATCGCCTGCCACAGGTGCCTGACTGACGAATGTGTGCAATCACATTTCAATGTGGTACAGGAGATGACTTGGGAACAGGAGCTCCACGAGCTCAACCAACAAGGCCCTCCGATAGCTGGCACCCGGCTCTTTGTGGTCAGTCGTGTGGAAGATGGTTTTCAGGAGACCTTGGAATGCGAGACAGTATCTACCCTGGCCCAGGTGTTCTTGCATATGGACATGCCCCAAGGTACGTGCTTTTTCAGGAACCAGATTATGGTCAGCGATATGGTTTCAACGGCCCATGGCGAGATCTACCACGCCATGGTCAACCAAAGGGAGGACGACCTATGCCCTTTGTGCCTGACACAAGGCATGAACCAGGACCTGCGATTGTGCCTGATGTGCAAGCGGATCGGCTGTGCCTTGTGTATTGTGGACAAGTGTTCCAGATGTACTGGTGGAGCCCTGTCTTGCAGAACATGCCACGAAAAGGCGGCTGACTCTCATATCCGCGCCTTGCACGAGCACATGTCCATTCAGCTGGAACACGAGACTGCTCCTTGCTTGCCAGAATGGGACTGGACCCTGGCATGCGACATTGAGGCAGAATGGGAACTGCTGACTGTCTTGTCCTACCCCAGCGGCCGGGCCACGGTTAAGAGGAGCTTATTCCACAATGAGCGACACATTGTCGACACGGTCCGAAAAATGGGGTATTCGGTGGCAGACGAAGTCCAGATCTTCTGGGGGGATTCCCCACGACCACACCTGCACAAGGCTGTGGAGGGCTATATCCTGATCATCCCGTCCAACCAACTTGGAGATGGACGAGTCCCGGTCATATGCAGAACTGCCGCTGGTGAGCACATCAAGCTGTGCCCCCCTACACAACCGGCACAGGCATGGGTCCGGTGCATTCTGACCCCGGATGAACAGAGAAATGGGCACAAAGTCCTCTACAGGCAACAGGTCCTTAGTGGCCCCTCGGTCCTCACTCTCAAGATCGGAGACATCCTCACCAAGGTCCCGCCGTGGTCTGAGCAAAGCCGATCCTTGGAACACCCGGAAGAGGGCCTTAGACTGCTGGACGCGGCTATGAACCGGGAGCCCATCACCCCTCTGCAAACATCTGGCCTTGGAGGTTCTGTGCCGGCACGATCACAAATTGGTGCGGTGTCGCACTATTGGATGGCACATTCCAGCCGCTGCCGGTGCCTACTCCAGGTCAGTCGTGGCGTCAGTGGACGGCGCACCTGCCACTCCCAGCTACTGAGGATCTTTGGGCAACGTCAAACGGCCGCCGCCTGGCCCCAGACCAACCGCTGGATGGCCGCCCGATTTTGCTTCGCCTCCACTACCGGGCCCGAGGCGGTGGAAGATCTTCAAAGGCTGATAACCTCTCCAAGAAGCTCGCCACGCACCTCCAGTCCAAGGGAGTTCCGCAAGAGGATGCCGCGGACAGAGCCGAGGCGGTGATC